GGGTGAGCCGGGCTCTGGCCCTCGCACCTTCCAGCCCACAGCGGATCAGTCCCCCTCAGGCAGGGCTGGAGCGCCGGGGGCTCTTCCCTCTCTCCCTGCTTGAAAGAGCTTTCCCCATGACCACCTCTTCCCCGGGAAGACGCTCCTCACCCCCCCATGGGAAGGGGCCTTGCCCTTCGCCACAGTTTCCCGGGCAGGAGCCTCTGCGGCGGCCCCTTCGTCACCTCAGTGCCCTCGGCCAGAGGCTCTCCCCTCCCTCTCCCCTGAGAGAAGGGCTCCGTCTCCGCACTCAGTTGCGAGCCAGGCCCCCTCTACCGCCAGAAGCCCCTGGAGAAGGGGGGCTCCCCCTCTCCCCCCGCCCAGGCGACTGCGGCTGGCACTGACCCGTCTCTGCCGTCCTGCTCCTCTCCGCCATATTTGTTGTCATCCCGCCACCCCCCCCCCCCCCCCCCCGCCCGCCCCCATGGCAACGCGCGCCCCCCCCCCGGGGGGGCCCCCCCCCCCCCCCCCCCCGCCATGGCGGCGCGGGCTGACGGCCGCCCCCGGGGACAGAGCCTGCTTGGGGAGAGCCGCCCCCGGGACAGTCTTCCCCGGGACAGTGTGCCGGGGCAGCAATGTCCGATCCCACCCCCGCCCAGCTCGGCGGCCGCCGCGGTGCTGGAGGGCGGGGCGTGACGAGAGCACCGCCGGCCGCCCGCCCCTCACGCAGCGCCGGCTCCCCGCCCGCACGGCCGTGCCCGCCCCTCTTCGCCTCCCGTGACCGCTGTTTACCGGCGCTGCTCGTCTGGGGAGGGGAAGGCTCGTTATTCGCTCCCCGGTGGCTGCTGCCACCTCGGCAATTACCGTCACAGCGCCCCGGGGGACGGGGCAGTGCCGGGTACCGGAGGCCCCTGCCGGGGTGGCCCCGCCCGCAGGGAGTCGGGGTGGCCCTGAGGTGCTCACAGGGCACCGAGGAGGAGAGAGAGGCTCGTTACCACAGAGTCACAGAATCACTAAATTCCAGCCACCATGTCAACTGAACCATAGTACTCAGTGCCACGTCCGGTCTTGCCTTAAACACCTCCTGCGATGGTCACTCTGCCACCTCCCTGGGCTGCCCATTCCAGTGTCTAATCATCCTTTCTGTGAAGAAATTTTTCCTAGTGTCCCATGTCCTAATGTTATGGAGGTGCATGTCCCCTTCCACATAGATCAGAGGTGCAGAGGGCAGAGAGGTTTCTGTCACCCCAGGGGTGGGGAGCACATCCTCCTGCTCCGATTCCAGCCTCATGTACTGAAGCGCAGCACAGGCAGAGATGGCAAATTCGTGTGTGTGTGACTGCCCCACCCTGCCCCAAAACTCAGCAGGTGAGTCTGGTCATGTGGCACTTATGTCAACTTCTATTTTATTTTTTTTTTAATTTCTTAAGGCAGCCCAGTGGGGAGTTTCATTATGTGTGCAAGTGTTGCCCGTCTGTCTCCTTGCCCCAGACCCAGCAGGTGAGCCTGACCATATGGCAAATGCAGTGACGAGGACGGGAGGGCTTCTGTGTGCGCGTGTTCGCGGGCCCGCTGGGTGACACTCACCATGTGGCAAACACGGCCATGAAGGCTTTGGTGCAGAGGGGCTAATTATGTGTGTGAGTCCCAAGGGACCCGGCAGGCTGGGTGTGCTCATGCGTGTCTCACTAATGCACGGCTCAGGCGGAAGCTCCATTGTACATCCCCAACGCTGACAACACGGAGCTCTCGGAGGCGAGGCTGGCCATGGGACAAGCACAGTGTTACAAGCACGAGCATCAAGCCTAGAATCGTGTGTTGTGCATACACAGGCAGACACGGGGGTGAATGCACACCAAACTGGGGGGCTGCTAGAACTGTGAACCAGGGAGTGCACATGCAGTGCTAAACAATGGAAATGGGCAGGACTGTGTTCATGGTTATGTACAAAGGTGTTTGCCTCCTTAGATCCAGTCAATTAATGTAACCACTTCCTAGTGACCAATGACTAGTCAGTGAAAGATTCCAAGCTTAAAAATCAAGGCAGGTAAAATTGTATCTTTCTTCATTTAAGTTCTGTTCTTTAAACATCACTTTACCTTTTTTGTCTTCCTGTCTGGTATGTGCCTTTTCTGCTCCAGTTCAACAAGACTCACATGGATAATACCTGCAGGTTCCACACACTTGGATTTTTCTGTAGGGCCAGTTGCTTCCCTTCTCCCTGGAAAAGAGAAAGCCTGCTCTTTTTGCAGCCCTGTTCATTCTTCTTTCAGTTCATAGTTCTCTGGTTATTTTTGCAGCATCTATTTTTGTGGTTTCCCTTCCTTTACTGTTTCCTTTCTTTTTCAGTGACATTTAGGCCTCTTTCCTTTATCTACTGCTCTTCACTCTCAGTATCTTACTCTAGTATTATATAAGCTAATTAATTTAATGTTACTTTAGCCACATTCCTGTGCCTTGATGAAATACCTGTCTGAAGGGTGTACCAAGGGGGCTTTGTGATAGGCTTAGAAGATGCACTCTTGCACAGAAGAATAGTGGAGTGTACGTCTGTTCTTTGCTTAGCAAAGCCATCTAGACCCAAGCTCTGAAAAAAATATTTTCTAGACTTTTCCCTCTGCAGTCTTTATAAACTATAGGTGGTCACTCGCATACTAAAAAGGTTGATTTGTCTCGCTGCTGACAGTGAGCTACACTAAGTGCACACACCCCCACAGACACATTCTCTCCCATACACTCTTTCTCCAGGCCAGCAGATCACCCCAGCCCTGTGCTCTGCCTTGTTTGTTGCTGGACAAATGATCCTGGGACATCCCTCTTCAGAACATGCCACATACACTCTAATCTTTCTCTTCTTTCTTTTAGGTTCCCTGATAGCCATGTCCCATCCCAGCCCTCCTTCAAACAATTTCTCATATTACTTACCTCTTCATTCCTTTATCTGATATTTCCTTTTTTTTTCTTTTTTCCTTTTTAGATCTTAAAGAGTTCTGTCCAAGTTTGCAGCTCTAGTCTGGTTTCTTATGTCCCCATGTCCCCTTATTCCCTTTGTTCTACTTGCTATTCCAGCTTTAGTGTCCCCTCATCCATATTTCATTCCTATCTATTAATACTCATATAGCATTTTTCATCTGTAAATTTCTAAGAATTCTGTCTGTGGAGAGACCTTCCATATCAGTGCTTCAGAGGACCTCTTTATTCACATTTATCTGAGACTCGCTTCTATGGTGACCACAAATACTAATCCAAAGGCCTTTTGCATCTAATTGCCAGTCGATTAACTCAACTCAAATACCTGCAAGAAGGTCTATTGAAATAAAGACATTTGGGGGAAAGAACTTTCTCCAGTCAAATTATCTCTTCTGAGTTAACACACTTGAAAAACCTAGAAATGCCACACTCATTTTTTTTAGTCTGAGTTTAATGCTATGTTATAGTCACCTCACCAAGCAGAAGTGCTGTTAAATATAGATGATATGCAGTCTTTCCAAAAACAGTAAGATAATTTGACAAGAGAGAACTGGAAAGTTCATATAGAAAGTTCTTTTGGAAATAGAAAGATAACCGAATGGTGTAACCTGAATCAGGGCTGAAGAACAAGGGAAATGGTTTTTAGGAGAAGCAGTTGCTTATTTTTATTTGCGCATTTTTAGAGCACCTGAGAACTTGTTGGGGTGCTCGTTAGTACAAAGACATCTTTGGCCCTTGCCCTTCCAAAGCAAATAATCTGATTTTGGACATCACAAACCAACAAAGAACAACAGAACACTGTTGCAAAACACCGCTGCCCCGGTTATCCTCACATTCGCTGTTTCAGCCCTATTCCTTGTTCCAGCGGGTCCCCCCGCCTCCTTCTGCATCTTGGCAAGCAAAAACTGCTCCACTTCTGTGGCTCTTTGCAGCTTATTCCCACCCCATCATCTTTTAATAGCCTATGGAAAAACCAACAGCTTCCCCCCACACATTTCATTCAGTAATAACTCTCTACTTGTTACATTTTCAAACCGGCACCTTCATGCTTTCCCTCGCTGCTGCTTCTCACTCCCACTCACCTAATTTTCCTCCTTCAAATCCCTCCCTAAAAATCTCCTCTGCTGTGCTGTCTACTGAAGGAATGGTAATGAATCGTCAGCTGTGTGCCAAGATGACTGTCTGTCATGGAGACTGTTCTTGTCTTACTCTCATGTGTCGGGATCCACTGCCTGTGTGGGACTCACAGTGACTCGAGGCAGGGCCGCTCCTTTTGCTGTGTTATGGGTTCTGGAACGGACCCTTAAAACTCATTGTATAAACAAACAAAAATAAACTGAGGCGATGGAAATAAAAATGGAAATTCTGGCCAAAACCAGGAAGATTAGACAATATTTCAGTTATGATTCATCAGCTTAGGTAAATTTACATAAAAATTAATGTGACTGACAACTCCCTTCATTACAAATATTGAGAAAGAAATTATTTTTATAAATATGGATTTGTCCCATTTTTCTATTTATTTATAATCTCTATGGACTTAAGGAATATGTTTTACTTTTTTAATCTGTGCTTGCATTTGAAACATTAGATATTCCATTGTTTGTTTATCTTTCATTTGCAGCCTGGAAGACTGTGGCGATGAAAGAACATAAGAAAGCATAACAGTGCAAGAGCAAAGACTTGAAAGGAAAAAAGATTTCTGATCACTTTTGTTTTAACATGAGGATAATTCAAATATGTTGAAGATTGAATGATTCCTGTTACGCATTCAATACTTCTGATTCAGCTAGAGGTGGCTGCTGTCAATACATGTCTGTCGAAACCCCAAAGATCTTCCAAGAAAATCAATAAAAATCCAATTTTACAATCTTGATATTTTCAGAATGTTTAAAAAATTGGCAAAAATCCACCCTTTTTTATACATTACAAAAAAAGACAGTAAGGCACATTATTGATTTTTCACAAATCGTTTTTAAGTGACTGTTAAGGCTGGATGTGAATGAGAAGATGGAGCATTAGCACACGTTTTCCATGCCTTTCACACACCACACACACGGTGTATGGTGTGGGTCTCCAAAGTGGGGATTTAAAAATCCAGGTGTAATTGTGTAGAAATCATATAATTACTTTTTTTTGGTATCACTTTCCCTGTGCAGAAAAAAGTCGTGCAAGCATTCAAGTGTATATTCTATTGGTGCTTCAGCTGTGACTCCAGTCAGAGAAAAGACCATGACAATGGTTCTGCAACAGACAGGCCATCGATGGTGGTCATGCAAGCAGAGCAGGTACATTCTAAATTAAAAATAAGAAAACTAAAAAGACGAAGAAGAAAAAAGAGAGAGAGAAAATCAAAAGTCTGGTCAGAGTTTTTAGCCAGGATGTTATGGTCTGGTGGACTCAGACAGAAAATTAGATCTGATAAAGCAAGAAAAAGCCAAAATGAAAAACCAAAGCCCAGACTGAGGTAGCAAAATTGAGGTGAATTTTCAACCATGCACACATAGTGGAGGAATGCTATAATCTTATTATTGTAACCTTGATCCACTCGTTCTCCCAGCATTTATTGCTCTCATTAGTTATGTAATATCTAAAAGCACATTGTAATTTTTCTGTGTCAGGACAGTATCTTTAATGTATTCTGAACATGCCTAGTATAACTACAGAGATTTATATAAAAATAATATTACCTCTTGGGGTTTTTTTTCTGTGTTATTTCTAAGCATAGGAAAAATTAAAATGCAGCAAGTCTGAAGAGGTCAAACTGTATCTCCCCTCGTTCTGTGCATGATTTCAGAAATAATCTAAAAGTTATGCTGAGATAACTGATATGAAACCAGAGACACCATCATCACAAAACTTGGATCAATTTTTGCCCATGCAGGCAAAGCATCATCTCATTTCACACCTGAAAATATTTTTTTTTAATTTTACATTTTATAGATATTTTGAACTGTTTGTTCCTAACGGTTTGTCCTCACAGATGTGCATCAATATTGTGTAATTACACCGAGAAACCATCAGCCTGAAGGAACCCAGCCTGTAAATGACAGCCGTGCTGTACAGGAGGTGAACAACCCGTGACTCCAGGATTTGGAATGCTACTTTGCTTTTCCACTCTTCCACAAGCTCTTCTGGGCTTGTAAAAGCAGGGGATTGCCAACGTGCAGAGCTTTCTCAGACACACACCCTTGCTCTTCCACTGCCCCTCTAAGCCAGGCAGAGCTGAGGAGTGTTTGCTTGCCAGCGAGCACTTCTGCCCTGCCTCTGACTAGGAAAGGAAAGGAAGGTCAGTGGCAGCCACCCGGGCGCAGAATGGAAAAAGAACTGTTATCCAAGGGCACAGGTAAACCCTTGCTATTACAAACTGAGACTTCTAAACTCTTTTCAGGAAATAACCTTCATTTTTAAGTTCCCATCAGAAAGGTGCACACACGTATGTGATAAAAGTGCACTTTACCTGGGAGAGGTGAAGGGCTAAGTCAGTTCTCCTGGGATTTGAGCATGTGGATCAAAACAGTTTAGAATTTCAAACGTGAAGTATAATGCTAAGCTAGAATTCTCTGCCACTCAGAGGCAGGTAGAAGGGACCCAAAGAATTCTTCTACACTGGAACCCTCCAATTCCCTGGCATCCCTCAATGGGGAAAGCACTTTCCAGTGGTTTCTAATTGTGTAGCTGCTAAATATGCTCTTTACAGGTGTTCCCAAGGGGTCTTCATGATCCTGATCCACTCCTAGTGGCAGAGATTACTACACCTATACTTAAAAATTAAAATATATGCTTGTGTAATGTTTTATTATCTTTATTGGAAAATATTTATTATCTAAATATTAGTTTTTCCTTAATATTTCCAATATTATTATGGACTCAGTCCTGTGTTTATATATACAGACACATTTTATGCATTGCATTTTAATAGTCTATAAACTCTACAGTTCTCTGCTATCTTTTAATCCTTTTCAGCATTTACTCTGATAAAATTCTTTTAACGCAGACAGTGAACATCTGGACAGACGAGAGAGGTAGAATCAGAACTTAATTTCAGATTAACTGAACAATTGTTTGCTGTCTTGAAGCTGATTATTTGGCCCTCAACTGAAATTTAATTCTTTATAGGAAAGGATTCATAATTAATTTAGGAACCATGTTAAATTCCAAACTTTTAAAATAAATTCATGATTTGTTATTAGTTGCAATTTCTCAAGGTACCAGTGGCACAGAAAAAGGAGCAGCAAATCGCTGAGAGACAATCAGTACATGTAGCAGCTGGGAGAGAGGAGGTAAACTGAAATGGCAGGAATTTACTTTAGACTGCAATAAGCTTATGTTAGCTAACACATGGCAACTAATACACGATGAAATCCCAGTGCAGAAAGGCCATTTTTAGTTATCACATTTGTTAGCAGATCATGGTAAACAGTTGGCTCACCCTAATATGCACTTGTCTTCCCCAGCATTTTTTTCTCACACTAAGTGGCAAGGAACTCTCTTTTGCTCCTATTATATACAAGTCCTATGAGTGCTCAGATAGGAGTGGAGTAGATCTATGCCAATGCCAGCCACATGGATGAACAATGATGGGTTTATTCCTTTTAGGAATCCAAGGAATGAGCTCAGAGGCTGCAGGTAGATTGCCTTGGTTGAGTTCAATGCACTTGGTGGCTTAGGACTTCAAGTGTCAGCCCTTGAAGTCCTGGTTCACCTTTAGCCTTTCAGTTTTGCACTGCACTTGTGCAGGAACATTCCTGCCTTGCCAGTTATTCCATAAGCCCTGCAGTGCCACCAAAACAAGTCCTTTTAGTGCAAAATGTTATTGACATTTGCCTTTAATAATGACAGTGTAATAAGGAAAACTCAAGCCCATAGCAGCACTCCATCAGCTTAGAAAAGGGATAATAACATTAGGCCCATTTTCTGTGGAATCCAGGGTATAGAGTAAAGCAAAATATGGGACCTAGCAAAGCCAACCACCTTCCTCAAGAGTACAAGAAATGGTGTTGTTTGGTGAATCTAGTCCTAAATACTGTCTGCTAGGGCAAAATAAGGAGAACTCAAGAGAAAAAGGACAATCTGATGATGGTCCAAAATATGATCAGGGGATAGTCCTCCACATGCAAACTTCACCCTGACCATCATGAGATGGGCAGAGACCGGGCTTTAGAGGCATCAGAGAAACATTACGCCAAGACCACATTCACAGTAACATTTTAAAATCACTATCCCATGTGTTTGAACACAGGAAATACACGGCATCTTTTCTTTAATTTCTCTATTTTGTCCAAGTAATACCAAAGTCCAGATACTCCTGAACACCATGATTACCAAAATTGTTTCCCTTGATGTAATAGCAATGCTGAGAAGTGAATATTGAGTAAGATATAATCACACACAATTATCTGTCCCTAAACTTGAACTTAAGAGTCTGAAGAAAAAAATTCCATGAACTTTTTAAAGTTTGTATTCATAACATCTTCTTCTGCATTCTAAAGCTGCAGTGACCCTCAGGCCTGCAAACTTTCTGCCACTCCCTGCAAGAGTTAGTGGCCCTAGAGATGAGAAAAAATCCTTTAAATTAATATCTTACAGAAATGAATGGGTATATATTGGATCAGAATCTGCAGAAATAATTTATTGTAATTACTAACTAATCCATCTTGAAATCAAGGACAATTTAAAAATTAAGACATTAATATGAAATTAGAGTCACTTGAAGTTTGGAGGAAGGAAGTACACAGTAAAAAATGTAGTTACATACCATTCTTATCTTCTAAACGAAGATATTCGGTGAAGCACAGATGGGCTACTGTATTCCTAATCCTCTGACCCATAAGGATTGGCAGTGAGACAGTGTTCCCACTAATACATCTCCCACTCCTTACTTTTTCACATGGCATTGAAATACTACATTTAGGAACTCGTTGACTCACTTAGGATGGCGGGTGCTGTACCAGAGAAAGGAAGCTGATTTCCTTTTCATATTATAAGCACACACAAAAGTGCTGGAAACTTAGGAATCAGCTCTTAGAAGAAGCACCTGGAATAGAAAAGCTCTTAAAATCTTAACTGCCAGAAAGTAATTATACAGGAGAAGGGAAGCTCAAGTACACTGAGGGTCTGACTAAGGAGTGGGCACAGCACTGTCCGGGACAGCTATCCTTGACCATTCCTGAAACTGCCAAAATTGTAATGGGGGCAGAGCTGCTCACAAAGCAGGCACAGGATCTGCAACTTGACAATGTCTATAGAGGACGGCTTCCAAGTAAATTCCCCCTGTGCTGAAAATTCTGGAAACTGCAGATTTGGACACTAGAGCAGTGACCCCATCAGCCACCTGAAGTTATAACATCCTGATGGGGTCATATGTCACTTAGCAATCACTTGAGAATCCCACTATAGAACAAGGAATGGATTTGGATTCCCAGCTCTCAAGGTTATCCATCAGAACCTTCTTCCCATACAGTAAGCAAGAACTTTTAAAGGGAGCAGCTGCCACCAGCCAGTGAACGTGAAAGGGACAGAAACGTGGGTAAAGTGTCCCAGTGTAGCAACACACTCTGACACAGATCCACACAAGAGGCAGGATTAAAGCAAACACAAGAAGAGATGCTGTTTAATTAGGACCTTCACAGAGAAACATCTGGTATAATTGGTTAAGGGGAAGTCTTCACTCAGGCAACATTTATTGGTATATAAACAATGTCCAATTGTAAACACTAATTAAACAGCAGGACTAAGGTACCAGGGTTTTGCCTGCCTGACTAGGACATAAGGTTTATAATCCATGCTGTTATGGGACAGCAGCAAGAACAAATAATTGTATATTCAATAAGTCAATTATGCCCTTCTTTTTGTAATAACATGCTCCAGAGGTCAAGAGAATACTTTCAGTAACATAGCCAGTTTTCAATAGCGATTGAAGCTTGATAGCTATTCAGTGTTTGTTAGGAAAGTGGCAGCAGCAGGACAAGCCCAATGGATATTCCCCCTATCTGGTGGTACGTTATTTGCCCATCACCATGATGCTCCAGGCACCCTCACTGGTTTCACTGAACAAATTCTCTTGACTTTGAGCCATTTGCCCTATAGCAGTTTCCTAGGAACTCATATCATTAACCATAATTTCAAAATGTCTTTTTAAAGCAAGCTTACAAGTAATAGTGATACTTATTTTATATATATTATATATATATATAGTTGAACTAATGCAAATTCAATGACAGGTACACACACATCCACATAGCTACAAATGCAATGACAAATCCATCTTGCAGATCTTTTCCAGAAGATCCTTTTGCAATGGCTGCAGCCTGGCTTTACCCAACCCCTCCAGATTGCCTCCAGGTTCATCACAGGAAAGCCTCCACCTTCTGCAGCATCTCCGGCATCATTTCTGCTTGGCAGAACTGTACCTGCCATTACAATCCCTTCAAAGACAGCCTCTGTAACAAAGAAAATTCCACTTTATTAATTTCCTTCTTGCTCATCTTCTTTGTACTGGTGGAATAACACACCTCTGCAAATTGGAAGGAAAACGAGAGGTTTAGAGGCCGGTCATGTAGAATCATGAGTATCTCAAGTTGGAAGGTAACCCTAAGGATCATGGAGTCCAACTCCCTGCTCCTTGCATGACTACCTAACACTAATCCATGTGACCAGGAGTGTCATCTTCTGTGAAGAGAGAGGGATGTTTTCCCCTGAATGCCATTCTAGGCACTAACATGATCTGTGGGGATGAAGAAGCACCATTTGTCACATACTATGAACAACTAAAATAGAGATGCTCCCCAGAAGTTCACTTCCAAACCAGTGATGCCCACAAGAGCTTTCTGTCTTTCATGGGAACACTCTGAAGACATTTTCTTTTTTTAATAGTTATGACATAGTGTAGGCTACAGTGCATTTGCTGCACTTTGCAGCTGTGGCCATCAAACAACCTGAATTCTGCGAGAAGACTGCAAGGCAAGCAGTGATAGACAAATGCACTGAAATCTTCAGCTGCTTTATAGCACTTTAAAGTGCACATAATTTTCTCACAAACTAAACACCCGCAGCAAGTGGAAAAACTGACTTTAAAAACTTGCAATTTTTTTTAAATTCATAGCCTCTAGCAATATATTTAAATGAGCAGTAGGTACAAAACTATACTCAAAACCTTAAATGTTTTCACAATAATTTTTACTTTTAATAATTTAATTTATTGCATTTTAGATTTGAAAGTAGCAAGGACAATTTCAAACAAAAACTTCAAAACCAAGATACAACCAAAGACTTTTTCAGGATGAAAGAACACATGTAAGGAGGATCAAGACCCTACAGTGAGATCAGCTATTAGCTAATTAAATATGTGACTAAAATTCATCATTTTAAATAGCAGCCGTATTGATGGTGAGCAATCTGGTAAGCAAACAAATGATGGTGGATTTTTTTTTTGTATCTTCAGAGAGAAACATTTATCTTAATAAGATTCACTGTGCCATAATACACATGGAATAAGTCAATGTCTACTAATTAAAGGACATTGTCAACCTGATTTTCTAAACAGCTAATTAAAATATGTAGCATCTAATAACAGCCCTTCTTGCAAAATATGCTGTTGAAAATATACATGCCTGTAAAAGTTACTTGTTTTTCTATTCCCTTGTGTTTGCCTTTTTAATTGGTTTTTCAAGAAAGGAGGATCTGCTGAGCTGAGGTTCTATTTCTGTATCAAGTTCCATTGATGAACACCCTGTACTTACGCAGGAGCCCAATGATTTGTAGGTCTAAAAGGCTGTACAAGAAAACAACGACACTAATCCTAAGGGTTTGCTGTTGTTGCTTTCTCAGGGATGACAAGATTTTTTGGGGGGGATTTAGATGTTACTTGAAATGGTAAAATTTTCAAAAAGAAATGTCATTTTTATAATGATGAGGAATCTTTAACCTTCCATTTTACACATTACATTAGTTTCTCAGAATTATCAGGCTTCTCTCTGATTCTGTAAGTAGCTTTTTCAAGAGAAAGAAGCTGTTGTAGATCTGTCAGCAAGGCTCTGGGAGTAGGAGGATGTTTGGATTTCCGGCATATTGCAACGCAGTTCTTGGCCACCAGCAAAGCTATGTGTGTGAATCTCATTTTATATCCGTTGTTTGCAATACCACAGATTTTAAGAGACATTTGAAATAGTCTCCGTACTCCTAATCACAAATCATTCCCTAAGAGAAGCTGAGAAGGCAAAATACATACCTTACAGGCCTCATGGCATGACAGACTATGGATGAAATGATGCTGTCATGGAAATAAAATAAAATCAGTCGTATCTTGAACAATTAAGTCTGTATTCAAAGTTCTTAGCTCAAATCAGTTTATTATTTGCTGTCTTTCTTTCCGGATTCTGACTGAACAATATTTTCTATTACATACTTTTTGCATTAAAACATTATTAGCCAGCTAATCTCATTAGTCAATTTTTTATTCTATTTTAAAATGTGTATTTTTGCAGTGCAAAAATCTGAGACAGTAGATTATGAATTCTGTGACTGCTAATTATTTTCAAACCTGGAAGTATAGAGAGCTCATCTTCAACTCGAATTTGCATTATTTTTTTTCTCTAAAGATCACCCGAGTCACCACTCCCACCATTTCCCCTTCTTTTCCATCCTCGACCAGTACAAAGAAAACATCATTTTCCCAGCCAAGGCATATGCAACATCCTTCAGAATGCGTCAGAGCAGATCCTTCATCAGCCAGAGGAATCACTGTGTTAACAATATGAAGTCCTTCCTGCCCCAGGCAGCACAGAACAAGCTTGGGTTTCTCTCACATTTTTAATTGTCCAGCTAAGAGGTGATTTTGTCAATACATCTTTTCCTTTCACGCACCTGTGCCCTTCTGTAGGCAAGCACCCAACTCCTCCCAAATTGTAATGAAAGCTCAGTGACTGACCAGAGGCTTCTGCAATCTCTACCTGGGACAATGACTTGAAACCAATCCCCTCCCTTGCAAATAATTCCAGAATGAAATGTACTTGAGAGTTGTGTTGACAATGACTTGGGAGGGCAAAATACTTTTTACTCTTCCATAATTCTCTGTATTCTGCAGTGCTAACGGGAGTTAAAACCTGGTTTAGTCATTAAAGTAATCAGATATGAATCAAAGAAACCTCAAGAGATGCTGTTGTTGAAAAAGCAGATATTATTTTCACACAAACAAGCATTTTCCTCATCCTAACTTCATCTTAATGGGTATATATCTTTAATAAACAAACCCATTATTTTGAATTGTATCAAGAAATTTTCATCTGTAATACTGCTCAAACAAAAAAATACGAAAATGCTAAAAGCATTTTGGTTTTTTTATACACATCTAGCATGTTTATTGCCATAATGCAATACTGAAAATGCCAAAAAAGTGAATCAGTGATCTATAATTTTAAAATGCCAGTGATTTCCCAGCTGTCACTGATCTTGGAAAATTTCCCCAGTAGCATGTGGAGATCAATAACTGTTTACAGACTTTTTAGTCCCAGTTTGTAGGGAGTGTATCACTATGGACTATGTCAAATCTCTTAACTGTGAAGTGAAAGGCTGATTTCACACTTCAATCTATCCAAAAGCCCATAATGCTAAAGGCAAGAATGATGATCCATGGAACCACTGCTTGTCCTCTGGGACAATAACAGTGCAAGTCTGCAGGAGCCATGCCTGAAGAAGAAAGAAAGGTGATGAGAAGCAGTATCCAGCATGGACTCTCCAAGGTTTGCCACACTTGAGCAAGCCTATAGACCTTCTGTGATGAAATGGCAAGACATGCAGACAAAGGGAGAGCCGTAGATGTTGCCTACCTTGACTTCAGGAGGGCTTTCAGCATGGTCTCCCACAGTAAACTTGTATCCAAACTGGAATGTTATAGTGTGGATGGACAGGCTGCTGAATGGGTGAAAATCTACCTTGACAGGCCCAAGGGGTTAAAGAATCACACTCCATCTGACAGCAGTTACCAGTGGCATCCCTTGGGAGTTTACCCTTAGACCTACACCATGGAATATCTTTATTAGTAGCCTGGAGAACACAGGGCACAACTTTTTTATTCCCCTTTATTCTTTGGAGATATTTAAGCACTGGAACATGTTGCTCAGAGAGATTGGGGAATCTCCATCCTTGCAGGTTTTCAAAACTTCATTGCATCAAGCCCTAAACAAACTGATGTGATTTCAGTGTTGACCTTGATGTAAGCAGGAGTTTGCACCACAAAATCTCCTAAGGTCCCTTCCAGTTGAATTGATTCCATGAGTCCCAGTAAGAATCTTCTCAAAGTCAGACTTTGCCATCCATCCTATCCATAGGGTTGTCCCTATACATGGGTAGTTCTGGGCTGATATAGAAAATAAGTAAATTAACAAGTCCTTCTCATCCTTGTAGCTCAGCAGCAGGTTTAAGATCAATATCCTGTGCATGCTGATCCCAAATTCCATGGCAACCTTAATGTATCCCATTACCAGAAAATACCCTTCACTCACTATTTTTCTCTCCTTGCACACATACTTATATGAAAGGTGGTAAAGAATCTGGCTCACAGAACCTTTCTCCTCTGAATTCAGATGATTTTCTATTTGATATTTTTCCAAAAAAGGTACTGAAAAATAATTTTTTTTTTTTTATGTTTCCTTACAGCTTATTTATCAACGTTTTTAGTTATGGTAGATCAATTTTTTCTATGCTCATCCATTCTCAGTCTTTTACTTTGTCTAATTTTTCATCAGCTGAATCTTTTCCTTGCATAACTGAAATATGAGCTACGGTTTCACACACATTGCTGTGTCCATAACTCTGAACATTAGTTGGGTAAGATGCAAATTGGTAACAAGGCATAGTGTATCCCAACACTGTAAAGAAATTGAATTTTGAACTGTTCTCCTGAAAACCAAAATTTAATTACATTACTCTATTTAGTGAAGTCAGACACACTGGAAGTAGTGTCCCTTACCACCTTAGGTTTCATCTCCTCACGGTTACACTTGTACAGCAAACTCCCTGGTTGGCAAATAAGACATTGCAGGCAATCCTCAAAATGAACAATAACACTGCAGCGTAGTCATTTGTTACAGGACTGCACATTGTAAATGGGACAGTATTTAGCAAATAGTAGAATTGTATACTGGAAATGAACCATATATTTTCCCTTTAATTCCTTTAGTAAGAGTGGTTAAACACATTAAATTGTGCAGTTTCATATCCAAGGTCTTATTTCCAGCATTATGAAAGACTGAAAGTATTTAAACCTTCTCTGTGTGTATCATCATGAAGACAAAATCCAAACTGTAAGGAAAACTTACAAATATACAAAATTATGGCCACTGAAATCTTCCAAATTTGTGCAAATAAAGCAGCATAAAAAGCAGCATACAATGAAATTTCTAAGATATGATAAATATACAAAATGATTAAGCATGAAAATAGCCAGGAGCCTGTTTGAGGGCAACCATAGCATGCATTGGTGGCTTTGCCATGAACTGAAGCCAAAGACCAACTTCTTTTAATCCCATGAGAAATCCAACACTGTTCCTGAGGTGCAGTACCGTGTATATCAATAGGGGAAGCAGTTTAAACCTATTCAAATCTGAAAAACATCTTAAAAGTCCAGAAAGGTAATAGACAAACAATGTATTCTTCTTCATCATTGTTTTTACTCCTGGCTGTGCAAATTAGAAGAAGTAGAAAGTTGGGATAGCAGTGAAAGGCTCACCAAAATACATTTCAAGAAGAAAAAATATTTAAATTGATATAAAAAAAATCAATAATGTTATACTGAGAGTGGAAGGCAGAGGGAATATGAAGTCATGTGGCTCTGAGGCCTGATCTTTTAAGCTGCTCCTAATTAAATGCAGCTTTCTCTTACTGGATGTTAAGAGCTTTCCAGGTTACTGCCCATATTAAATGAAAATTAGGTACTTATGTGTATGAATGTTGCAAAGTTGACTGAAAAGAGATAATGTGTGAAGACTGTGTCAAAAAATAATATTGCTGATTCATTCTAATGTGCTCAGACATTCCTGAACTCGGATCGCTCATCGGTACCTCATAGTATGGGTCGTAATCCTTAGCAGATAAACGCTTAATCCAAGATAAATCGTAATAAATCCAAATGAGATTAGGCCTTAACCAAAATATCCACCGAGTGCTGTTGGATAAAAAAACATGTTTGAGTGACTGTGATACATCAGTGGGAGTCACTGACTGAATTCGGTAGAACTGCAGAGAAGGTGCAATAATAGTTAAAAGCAAAGCAGCACTGCACTGATCAGCACCACTCGGGGGCTGGTGTTGAGTGTTCACCAGCCTCCCTTCTTAACAATATTCTTCTGATCTGTGAGGCTTCACGGTTTACATCAGTGTTCTGTCAAAGTCACCTACTTTCTGAAACAAATGTTTTATTTATCTCCTCCTTCCCACTCCTACTATTCTGAATCCGAATAAAACCTGCAGGAGCCTTAAGGCTAAATCATTCAGCAGGATCCACTGGCATTTTCATCCCCTCTGTGTTCGGTACCTTATGATATCAGGATGACACGCTAAGTATTTACAGTAAAGGACATCTTTTCATAGTATTTTAAAAAATCAAAAAGCCACATTCACTAAATTCACAGTGTTGTGACTGACTAAATGCATTATGGTTAGAGCTGGACAACAATATAAGAAAAACTGCTGCTAAAATCTCAGATTGCTATGAAAGTCTAGATTCTTTACCTGGAAGAAATTTCACCCACCTTTAATTATGACACAAATATAACCTCTCAACCTGCCAGCTGTAAACAAAAAGCTGCTGCCTTGAAGCAGAAGCATTTCAGCTACATTTTAATGGGTTTTTTTTCTGTAATAATAAAACCTACAAGAAATTCTATTCTAAAAAAATTGTGTTGCCTTACATTCAGCAATTTAGAGAAAAAAATCACTACAAGAAATCACTGCTTAATAAATTGTAACCTGAATTAAAGTACAGTTTGTGAATGAAGCTGCCCATGTAAGTGTGAGTTCCATTAGCATTACTGAGCATACTTGGAGTCGTGATCCAGGGACAGTGGCTTCATGGGAGTTTTTGACTGTGGGAAGAATTAAAGTTTGTATCTGATGTCCTGAAAGCCTTTGATGTGTTTATAGCTTTTATAGGTCACTTGAAAAGATAAGCTTTGTAATGGCTTTCTACACTTACCCTGGAAAAGCACTTACACACTCTTTCCATTGCTTAAAATACAGAACTATTTACTTCTGACAACATTTGCTATTTGTTCTAAACACCGTGGTGTGCATTACCCAGGTATTGATTCAAAATGCATCTTCTGAATGGGCAATTTCATCAGCGAGCTCTGACAGCACAGCGAAGCCACCAGATGTTGTCACCGTCTGACTTTAGCTGGTCCCGCTGTTTCATCATCAGGCAATGAGAGCACAGCCCTGCGTTAGGTGTTTATGGTTTTAGCAGCAACCTGGGAAAGCCTCTTCTCACTGGTAACTCCCCCTCCATTCAGCCCAGGTTTCCAAACTCCAGCAGATCCGATTGTTGGTTGTGGGGATTAGACAAAGAAACGGGGTGGAGTGTGGGAGGAGTAACTTGAGTGAGATGCTCAGGTAGAGACAGATGCACACAAACCACCCCAGGTGATTTGTAGTGCATGTGTACAATGAGCACTCACATCCTCTGAGTTGAGACTTCACATCACTTTCATTGCCTACAACATAGGACTTGTTTATCTGAAGGAGAAACGTAAGTTTTTATTTTAGAAGGCGTTTTTGTTGTTGGTTTTGCCATGTGACTAAGAAATGAAGTAACATGAAAATTAACTAAATCTTTTACTTTGTGTAGTACATCTCTAAATTGTGCATTAGCAGTAATGAGTTGTAAGAAACATCACAGTTTCTCATATTTGAGCAGGTTTACCTAGAATTCTCTTTTCAGAATAACTGCATTGGGCTTTACACTTCTCAAGGGTACAGAAGACTTTCTTATAACTATTTTTGGTTATATTTTTAAAGAGCAGTTAGGAATATCATCTGAAACTTGTATCATCAAGCAAATGCCACAGAGTGATCATTAGTTGTACAACAGTGCAGACCTTTCGCTATGTCTGTGGAGAAATATTTGCACTGTAACCAGACCCAGTAGGAACTATAAAATGGTAGATGCGAGTTTTTGGAGTATTAAGTAGAATTTTTATTTTTTTTCCCCCTAAAGACCTAAAAAAATCTAGGCAAATAACTAAAATATTGAATAGTGCAGACTTGTATGCAGCAAATAAAAAAAGCTATGTAAGAGATGTCATTTTCTTTAGGTATAGAACTCAAAGTGAACTGCTTTTAGAAAAGCTGTTGTCTAACAGAGTGATACCTTATCATTTAATGGACTGATGCCCTTTTCCTGACTGTTGTTTGCAGCTGGACTCCTCAGTTTTTAAGAATATCAATACCTTTTCAAAAGAAAGTTGTGGAGGCTTTAAGTCAGGAAGGATTTCCATCATTCTGTCAAAATAAACAGAAGGGAAAGAATCAGTGCACCTACAAGTACAGCAACACTACTCTGGGCTGGAGAGAAGTATTCTGAGACCAGTACACTGTTTAGGGGCAGATGATTTTTAATGGAAGAAAGAGTGCTCTGAGAAAGTCAAATTTGTTTACAGGGAAAAGAAATAATCTTACTTTTGCTTTGTCTGGATTTCTGACAATGACATTTCATATCTCCTCTTGTTAGAATAATTTATGTATTTTAGGGGATGCCTGCACAGAGCAGATGACGGGTCCTTTCCCTATGTGCTAGTGTGTCTCTAAAACAAGAGGATTTGGACCAAACTAATAGACAGATGAAGCCAAACAAACAAATTGCTGCTATGCTAATTTCTGAAACAGATGGCTCTGATCCAGCATTTGCTGGGAAATGCAATTCGTTGTCAATCTAACACAGAATCATGTATGTCTCTCTGTCATCCTGTATGTATAGCATATAGGAAGAAATCTGGCTCAGGATACTCCACCCACAGCTAAATTTATACACAAAGAACTGAAAATCAAAGTGCATAAACAAGTACAAATTCTGCCATCCGTACTGGAAGCAGAGATTGGACCTTGTTTTGAAGTTCCAGGTACAGATCTTCAAAAGGCCTGAGCTGTTCAGTCTTTCCTCACTTTGTGTTAGAAATACCCTTGAAATGAATGCAAGTTGTATACATGGCTTGCAGCACTAGGATAAACCAGGCAGGCCATCCTGTAAACTTCCAATTTTCTAGACTCAAGGTATTTTATTTAAATGCCTGAATGTTTGTTGCTTTTAACCAAGCTCCCTGAAAAAAAAGTCAGTAAAAATGTAAATAATTTTGCACCCATGTTCCTGGCGAGGCCACAGCTGAGACTGTAGGTCTAACTGAGCTCCCTCGGTGTCTGTCTTCACTGTTGGTGCATCTGCAGCCAAATTTAGCCTAATGCTAAGAATGACCTACACAGCAAGGAAATAAACTGTTTGAAAAAATATAGGACAAAGCTTATGTCTAAGGGAAAGCTTCCCACAACGTTCTATTTGTGGCACACGATCATACATTTGTGTCACATCATCTTATCCTTTCCTTGAGCACCGATTGAAAAAAAAAGAGGCTTTTTAACCTACTCAAAATCCTCCTTCGTACATCTTTACCGGAGAAGGCCACGGACAAGGGGAAGCACCTCCCAGTTTCTGTTCCAACATCGGGCGGCATCCGGGAGGGAGCGCAGCTGTGGGGACCCTCTGGGTACGTTACCGAGCTGGTCACAGGTGCCCTTCTCCCGCACCCCGCGAACCCCGCACAGGTGCTGCCGGCCCCGTTGGCCATAAGAACCCTCCTGGACCCACCTCCCGCGGCCACTCGAGCTCCAAGATGGCGGCGGTGCCGCCTCACGTCGCCCCGTAAGCGCCGCGCGGGAGACCCCGTAGCCGCCGCCGTCGCCACGTGCTCGCCGCGCGCACTCTCGTTCCTCGTGGCGCCCCCGTGGCGGAAGATGCGCGAGCGGGACGCGGTGAGGAACCGACACCCCCCGGAGCGGGGCCGGGCCCGGGAGGGCACGGGGGGCGGCACAGGGAGGGCACGGCCGTGGGCAGAGCGGCGGGCAGGCGGCGCGGGTGGCTTTTCCCGCGTTCTGCCTCTTCCCCGTCGGTGAGCGCTGCCGCGGCGCGGGGGTGAAGGTGGCGGGGTGGGGGAACATGCACACACAGAGCCCCCCGCGCATCCCCCGCTTCGAGCGGAGAATCCACGCTCGGGGCGTCGAGCGCCGCCGGGAGCGGGAGCCGGTGCCCGCCGGAGCGGGGCCGCGCGCGGAGCGGTTTGGGTGATGCCGCCTGCGTTCCTTTTTTTTTTTTTTTTTAATGCGAAAAAAAGTGCTTTTGCATGGTGGTTCCTAAACTAGCGTTTTTAGACGGAAAATGTGTCCACCGGAGCTTTGCGGGGTGGCGGTGGCCGGGGGCGTATCGCGCGTGCGAGACCCGGGCGGGACCGGCGAGATCCGCCGGGGCGGAGACCCTGCGGGTGCCTTGTCCTCCTTTCCCTACCTGTGCCCCTGGCGATGGCATCTCCTCCTTTCCCTACCTGTGCACCTGGTGATGTATCTACAGCTTCCAGGCTCAACCCGCTTTACAGTGATTAGCACAGTTAAGGTGTTTTTAATTAAAGTCTTTACCCATGACTTGTGTAGTTTTAATTGCCTGATACTTAACTCTGGAAGTTGGTGCTGGTTTTGTGCTGGTAGCATTTTTTCCTACAGCAGACTGATGGTGTGAGGTATTCCCAGATATTGAAAGGTTAGCTTGGATGTAGGTGAGACTTCTGTTTATTTATTATTCCATATAAAAATCTCTATTTCCAAAGTAAGTTCTGTCGGTGAACACGTAAGTTTCCCTAAATGTTTTCCTTGAGTTCTTTTCAAGTGCGATGGCAGGCCTTGAATAAAACAGACACTGGTTGTGGAGGCCTTAAGGCAGTAAGGCTGCCTTCGGTTATAAATCATCTTTTAAATTTCACCAAAGCAAGAGTAGGACATAATCGTATTGCATTACTTTTTCAGTTTGTTTATTCGTTCTTAAGCAGGTCTCCCACTGACTTGTTTGGAAGGCCATTGTACACAATGGCACCCTTAGTGCCATTTAAGACTTTTATTGTCTCTCTGTATTAATAGAAAGCCACTTACTACTATTTAACAGGTACGTTTTAGGCTTATTTTTGTGCCAGCACTTGGCCTTCTCTTGTAAAAAGGACCAGGGAGAGCACTTGAGAATTGTTTTAATAAAAACAAAGCAGTAGTTCCCCCTTTTTTTTAAATTAAAAGTTCCAGAACAATTTAGGGAACTTGAAACATAAAAGTTCTAGTGGTTGAGAAGTAGAACCTGCAACACATTCAAAGCAAAAATGAAATTGATAGTCTAATTTTACTATCCACACTGAGTGACATCTGAAATAGTAAGGAAGCCTAAATGATGAACAGTAAATTAGATTTTTAAATTAGGTAATGTTTGAAGATGTTAGAGTATTACTACATTTATTTCCTTGTTAATATTCTGAGATGTTTTAGGAAAAAGTAAGAAAAGATAAATCATACCAAAATAATTTAAATGACACTTAAAAAAATCTATTACAATGTGAGGCTTATTGCTATGCAGAAGAAGAAGCCTTTGCACAGAAATAAGCCTTTTACTTACTTCCACCTATTGAACAGAAAAAACAGACTAGGGAGAAAGTGCTTGTCTACCTTTGGCAATAGAGAAGCCTGGGAATAGTCTGAGGAAATGGAGATTCTGGTCCATGAGATACCTGGCACAGGCATGTATGTTTTTATCTCAATTTTAAAGGGAGTTTGAAACTTTTTTAGCCATATAGAGGAAGGACTCTTTATTTTTGTCTCAGTGCAAAGAAGGAAATGCCTCAAATCTAAAAGTTTAGTGACTTCCAAGGAAGACATGTGCTATGGTTTTAGTAAAGACAAGGTTGCTTTACAAGTTCAGGATGCCCTGGTTTTGTGGAGGGGGGGAAAGGGGGACATAATAGTCTGAAAACTACAGTTAGGACAGCAATTGCCTGGAACTTTAAATGTGGAATGAGGAAGATATTGTGGTGAGCAGCCAACTCTTCCTGGGTACTTTTAAGGGTTACCTTGGGCTGATGTGTAGTAATACACCTGAACAGAACTTTAAGAGGCCATGAATTTCTGGTAGATGTAAGAGTATTTTAAAAAGTAGAATTTTGCTTCCATGTTGCTGCAGAAACAACTTTCTGGAAGATGGGTCCTGCTCAGTCTGATAAGCAGAAAGAGTTAACATGTATCTCAATAGAGTGTTGGGTATAGTGCCAACACTATAGGGGAGAGGGAGAAGTCATTAATTGCAAATCATTTTGGTGTTTGCATTCTGGGATTGTGGGTGGGAATTCCTTTTTTTTACCCATTTTTATTTTGCCTAGGTGTACTTGGGATTTTTACAGCTGGGAGTCAGCAACTTTTTATTAATTTTCTAGAAATAGATATGTAGCAAATAAGTTCTTAAATAACACCAGATTGTGTCAGCATTTTTCTTTGCTTGTTTCTATCAGCATTAACTAAGTGTTACTGTTCAAATCAGCATGGTAACAGTTTTGAAGAATGGCAAAAGTAATGAGAATGGATGTATTTTCATGAACGGGTAGTATATAAGAGGAAAGAAGTAAAACCTTAATATTGCCAGTTAGATTCCTATTATCTGTAACGGTTTTTTGGCCTTAAGGGAAGTTGATACCTAACAGTAAAATCTGTGTGAAGCAGCATCATGTTCTTATACTGGCCTGGCTGCCTGGATAAAAGAAAAACATGTGGAGTGTAGCATTATTGATGTGGCAATTGTATCAGGATTCATTTGTAGTAACTGTGGATTTTTTCTGGATGAATAGGGGGAGTAGAATAATTATAATTCTGGACCTGCAAGAATTATACTGACCTAGGCAGAAAAGAGCTTGTCTCAAAACTAATGACAAAATATGCCAGACATACAAAGTTTAATCTCTAGGGTATTTTCTTCACTTTTGCTTAGGTTTTTAAAGAAATTGGATGGAAAAATCCTGCATTCAAACAACAGAGGAGTGCAGACAAGATGCAGAATTAAAGAGCAAGCTGAAAAATCATGACCAAACTCAATAACAGTGACAAAATAATTGTGGTCACTTCTAATTAGCCTGTTTATTTCATGGTACCAATTCAGATTTTTCTAAGAAAGTATATACGCTGGTGTTTTTTTAATTAGCTCTCCTTGATTTTTCTTACATATCTTAATTAAAAGTTTGGTTGTAGTTGTTAATTATGATGTACTTGTTTAGCCTTTTGTTTCGTCTTTGTTCTGTTTATGAATGCTGCCTTCGAACAGCATTGCTCTTACTCAAACATCTTGCATGATAGTTTTCCTTGGGGGTTACGGAAATGATAATCAGCCTTATGCTTGCTCTGTTTCCAGGTGCCAGTAAGAGACTCTTTGGAAACCATAGCTCAACAAACAGACATTTCGTGTTCTACTGTGGCCTAGTCCAGTTTGTCAGGGATTGAACTTGAAAGTATTAAATTGCTTATCACTGGCCCAGTCTGCTAAGGAGATTTTCATGTTTCTGTTTTGGTTGGACTTCAACTTTTTGGTTTCAGGGACTTTTTTTTTTTCCCTGTTATGTGAAAAGAGGGTTATGGTAGACAATCCAAATGTGTGTTGTACTTCTTGCAGTCTTTTATATTTGGTCAGGTTTTTTCTCCCCAAACTGTTTGCAGCAAGTATAGCATAGGGGCACGGAAAACTCTTAACCTCTTGCAAAAAGAAATAACATGTCAAATATTACAGTATATTACTGGATTCAGAAAGCAATTGACTTGTGAACCAGGCTTGGTGAACCATTTTATTCACAGTGTCTTTTCATTACTTATTCAGATAATTGATGCAGTGTTTGAAGTCCCTGAAGTGCACAGAAGCATCTGCATTTTCATTGACATAGTAAACTATTTCTAAAAAAAAAGTACTTCAGTATCCCCACAATAGACAAAATATGCAGCCTTTGTTTCCATAATGATTTAAAGTTAATGCATGGGAGATTGCATTTGGGATTTCCATAAATTAAGGGTTGTTCTCACCTTTCAACAGTTGGGTTTTTAGTACTGAAAAACAAGTGTGGTTTCTGTGTGGGTTTTGTGTAACTTCAGTAAAAATAAGTATTCTAGTGCTTCCCCCACGATTATAAAAACTAATAATAATAAATGGTGGTATTTGTAAAACTGCTGATACTTCTGCAGTCTAAGAATACATTGAACAGATGCCTCCTGTTGCCCTCCACTTCAGTGTGTTTACTAGTGCTTCGTGCAGCCTAGGTCATATTCTTGTTTTCTGTGTTTCTAAGTGCTCCTATAGCCTCTTCCCTCTGAATGCAGTCAGCTGCTCCCTGATTTGGTTTACATGCTCTTAGTGTCTCCCTCGGGTTCTCTCCATTCACCCGTCTTTCACAACAGGCTCTGCAAGCTTTGTTAATCAGCTCATCCATTTGCATTAGAAGGTGGGTTTTTTTCCAGCACAAGAAAAATTGTTTTCACCCCTCACTGCTTGCTGTCATTCCTTAGTTTGGAGCTTTCTAGTTTATTATCAAATTTATCACTTGCTGTTCTTGGAGATAGAGCTACACTTTTCTGTTGGGGTTTTTTTTTTGTATGCGTGTCCATCGACGTTATCTGGCCCCTTGCCTGCCTTTATAAAAAAAAAAAGCTTACTTTTTCTTCTTGATTGATTTCTTCCACTTGGCTCCTTTCATTTTCTTCACTGACTAGTAGTTTTGTCACTTCTGGGATTTCATGCACTATTTCCAACACAGTTGACTTTATTTGAACCATTGTCCTCCATACTTCCATGCAATGTATAGCTAAAGAGTCTTTGTATAGTTAGTCTTTGCACCTTTCTGCTGTTAGTTTGTC